GAGGGGGTCCCGTTGAACTGCTAATAATCAGAACAAATTTTTATCGTGTTTTTGAAAAATGAACTTAATTAGATTAGTAGATTACGAACATATAGTATTTTTTTAACCTTTCAAAGATAGAATAAAAAAGGGGAATAACTTAATTCCCTTTTCCTGCTTCCCCGGCTGACACAATATTTTTTATCATTAGATCTATCATTAAAATTTTAAATTAGGCCTACCTATACTATAATAGAATCGAAATAGAAGTTTTTTCTTATTTTATTTATTTAGTATTTCATCAAAATTGAAAAAAAAAAAAGAAAACTACAAAAAGTAACTACTTTTATATTATTAATTAATAATTCTATATACTATAATAATTATATATACTATTAATTAATATTAATATATATATATTAAAACGTTATATATATAGAAACAGTAATATATATGTAAACTAAGAATAGGATTTTTTAACGAATTGAATCAAGAAGGACAAGATCGACACAAGAAAAGGATGTCTAAAATTCCTTTTCTTGTGTCGAAGACTAGCAAGACAAAAAATACTCCCTATAGTCCCTAAAACTTGTTGTTTCGCCGATTTATGGTTCCCCTTTTTTTCGGCGCGTGTGTTCCTTATCTTATTTTAGTATCTAGTCAAATTTTGCCATTCGAATAAAAAAAAACTCTTGATTATTGATACATTCTATCAATTTCAATTGGTCAATAACGACAGAGTTACATCACACCCCTTCTCATTTTTCAAAGTTTTATTGAAAAATAAATAAAGGGGGGGTAAAGTGAATTCTTCTCAATATACATACTAGTATTAGGACTATGATACAAGTAATTCCTGACATCTAGTCGAAAAGGAATAGCAAATCTAAAGAGAGGCAAAAGGTTTTCATAATTTTTTTGTTCTTTTTTACGAATTTGATAAAGCTAAATAGACAGATCTAAAAATTCATTTCGGATAATTGAACCTTCTCAAACTGTTTCTTTTTAAGAACCAAAAAGATTTGTGCCAAAACAACCGATCCTAAGAAGAACAAAAGGCCTTGGACACGTAATGGATCTTGAAGTACTATTTCCGCATCCCCCTGACCAAATCCACCCACATTAGGATTACTCGTTAATGGTTGATCGAGTTTAATGGATTCGCCCTCTGAAATAAGAAGTTCTAGGCCTCGAGGGATAATATCAATCACTTCGCGTCCATTTGATGCATCCACTATGGTTATTTCGTATCCCCCTTTTTCTTTTCGTAAAATTTTACTTATTATCCCTCCTGCCGTAGCATTATAAACTGTATTGTTACTTTTGCTACCATCAGGATAAATCTGACCCCTTCCCCTGTTTCCACCTACATATATAGGATATTTTAAGAAGTGAACATCTTTATTAGTAGCAGGGTCCGGAGCAAGAATAGGAAAGGTTATTTCACTATATTTTTGACCAGGAACAGGACCTATCACAAGAATATTTTTTTTATTGGGGCGATAATTCTGAAAAGCCAGATTTCCTATCTTTTCTTTCATCTCGGGTGAAATACGATCGGGGGGGGCTAATTCAAACCCCTCCGGTAAAATAAGAACAGCTCCCACATTCAAAGCTCCTTTTTTACCATTAGCTAGAACTTGTTTTAGTTGCATATCATAAGGAATTTTAATAACTGCTTCAAATACAGTATCAGGAAGTACCGTTTGTGGAACCTCAATATCCACGGGCTTATTAGCTAAATGGCAATTGGCACATACAATACGCCCAGTTGCCTCTCGTGGATTTTCATAATTCTGCTGGGCAAAAATCGGATATGCACTTGAAATGGATGCCCAAGTTATTATATATATCATGAGTGAGACAGATATGGAGCGAGTAATCTCTTCCCTTATCCAAGAAAAGGTATTTCTAGTTTGCATGGTCCAATCATTTATCCCGAAAATTTCTACAATAAAGTTAGCTAGGTCGATAATATACTTCCCTAGCCACAATTCTGCTATTTACATTTACTGAAAAAAATCAAATTTTTTTTGTTGAAATATACAAGGAATCCCTCATGGGTAAAAAGAGTAAAGTAAATACGACTTTGATTTTGTTATGATGTATAAGGTACGAAAGATTAAAATTGGATCAGTGAATCTTTTTTTAGTCGTTTATTGCATGATAAATCACTACAAGTGACGGAGATACACGATTTAAATAACGAAAAATCCAATATTTAAAAATTGTATCAAGAATGACTGGAAAGGTAGAAACTAGACCAGATAAAATTTGCTCATAATGAGCAAACCCAAAATCTTTGTAAATATAACCAATCATTAGTTCCCAACCGTGAGGCGAATGGAATCCGATACATAAATCAGTTAATAAAAGAATCGAAAAAGCTTTAATTGTATCACTTAAATTATATAGGAATTCTTGAACCCACGAATTCAGAATAAAAAGCTTTTCCTTACCCCAAAAGGAATAACCACTTAGAATAACGAAAGATATTAGATTTGTCGAGAAGTGCAAGATTGTATGGATACGATACTCATTGTGTATCTTGATGAATTGGATCGTTTCTTTGTGGATTCCTAGACGAAATTGTTGTAAATCGGTTTCTGGGTATTCCTTTATCATTTCATCGAGCTGGAATAGTTCTTCTAATTGTATGAATTTTTCTAGAACACTTTTTTCTTGAATATCATTCAAAAAAGTTTCGCATTGTCTAGTATTCCACCAATTAGTAATCCAAGTTTTCAAACTTTTATTACAGCAGAGAGAGATCAACCAGGGCAAAAAGACTATAGATGTAAAATAAAAAAAAGGAATCAATGCTTTCTTTTTTGCCATTTTGAATCTGTGAATTGTTAATGAACCTACCTCATTTGTTGATTCTATTAGATCTAATATTTCTATCGAGCATGAGTTTCTATTCTAATTCGAATAGAATATAGTGAGCCTATGAATCCATTTTCTCTTTTGCTGTTGATTCAATACTGAGTCTTTGCTTTGAATCTAGAAAGAATACAGAAATAGACTCAGAATACACTTCCAACTTGAATCAAGAACAAATGGGGTTTCCGGGATGTTATTCCCCCTTTTTTCGATCAATACTAATTTCGAAACGAAGAAACTCCTTTTCTTTTCTATCAAATATATCAAAAAAACGAGCATAAAAGAATAGATGAATATTCAATTGAAAAAAAAAGAAAGAAATTCTTTCGTTTTTTCTTCCTACTGCCAAAGCATTTAGTCTTTTAAAATTAATTCATTTCAAAATACTTCAATTGGTACACGCAAGAAGTAAGCCAATTCAGCAGCTTTTTGCTCAATTTCTCGTGTAGTAAAATTCTCATCAGTACGAATTAAAGGAATAGCCCCTTGACCTCGAATTTCCATATAAAGGACACGTCGAGCAGAAACACCCTCTTTAACTTCTATTCTGATGGACTGAATATCTTTCATAAAGAATCGTAAAAAGATGCGACGACTTTTTCCAGGAAATCCCCAACGAAAAATACGCACTATTCCTTCTTTTCGGTCGAAAAGATCATAACCACTACCCACATTCCACAAAATAGTGCACCACAAATAGCAACTAATAAAGAGACCTGCGATCCCATAGAAAGACATCACAATCCCTTGTGGAAAAAAAATGATTTGCTGGGACGGAAATAACGATATAACATTTCTACCAAGATAACTGGAAGTTCCAACCAATAAGAATCCTAATGAACCTAAAAATAGGATAAAGGCCCAGCAGAAATTACTTGTTTTTCGAGACCCCGTTATAAATTCTATCCATATAGATTCTGATCGCCAACTCATATATATTAGATCCAGTTATACAATTTTTTGGAATTGAGAAAATATGACTTTCCTTTTTTTTTTTTCAAAGTAACTCTCAAAAACTCTTTTTTTGTGAACCTTTACCTTAGGAGTAATTCATAGAATTGTTTATATCTAAAAAAATAAAATCTCCTTCCTTTATATGATCCCCTATAGTTATATACATACAAATAAATAGATTGACTGGAATTTCAGACATCGGCCCGACGAGGATCCATTTTTCAAAAGAGCGCAAATTTTTTTACGTTTACACATGCATAAGAGCTTTTTTTATTTATGTTTGTAGGAATCTATGTGTTATACAATATTCTACCAAATGGGTCTTATCGAATCGAAGTTTTTAAAATAAAAAAAGGGGTGATATGATTAGGTCTCAGCCGATCTAAAAAATCTTATTTTTTTGAATATGAAGAAATAAAGAAGCCATTGCAATTGCCGGAAAGACTAGGCCTACTAAAGGCACAAAAATAGAGGGTAAGTTATTGAAAGTTGTCATAAAATGGGTACCTCAATTTAATATTTGTACCTGTTATTGTTATATTCTGAATTCTAAAGATATCTTAGAATATCTTGTATTTTTATTATTTCTATTATATCTATTATATAATTATACTAAGTATCTTTAAGTAAATATATATCTAATACTAATATACAACCTAATAGAAATATATAGAATAGAACCTAATAGAAATAGAATAAAAAAATAGGTACAAGAAACGCCAAACTAAATAAATGGACTTATTCATCTTTCAAAATCAACTATCAACTAGATGTATCATAATCCCCTTGTTAGATTTATTATTCTTTTTGTCTTATATCTTATAAAATATAGTCATTAATAAAGAAAAATTTTTATTCCATTACAAATTTCTACAAAATTGATTAGAGTCTGATCCAACAACAGGGAATTTTCGGGAAATGCAAAAAGATGGAAGACTCTCTATAGATCTGCATCTATCTCTATTTGAATTATCTATACATATGCAAGCAAGGGAGGAAAATGAACTTTTTTTTGTTTGTCTAGTCTAATTTGAACTTCCCCAAAACAAAAATTCACTTTTTATCTTGTTGATAGAGATTTACTGAGTAGTAAACAAGAATATCGATAAAAAAAATGATTTGAAAGAAAAATGAATTTTTAAGGGTTTTCGTTTAATTCTGATAAACTAACCGTTCTATTTTATTTAATTTTTGTTCAACGGAAAAAAAGCATGGAGCTGAAATAACTCGCTCAGAACACCTTTTAAAAGATTACGTGGTACAATTGCATCCAATAAGCCCTTACGTAATAAAGATTCAGCCGCTTGTGAACCTTCAGGCACGGCTTTTTTCAATGTTTGTTCAATTACTCTTTTACCCGCAAATGCAATATAGGCATAGGGTTCGGCAATAATGATATCCCCCAACATACCAAAACTAGCTGTCACTCCACCGGTAGTAGGAGATGTAAGAATTGATATATAGAATAACTTTTTACTTGATTGATAATCACATAAAACCGAAGAAATTTTAGCCATTTGCATCAAACTTAAACTTCCTTCTTGCATTCGTGCTCCTCCGGAAGAACACACTAAAATAAGAGGTAAACATTGATTGGTAGCATACTCGATCAAACGAGTTATTTTTTCGCCTACTACGGATCCCATACTACCCCCCATAAACCGAAAATCCATAACCCCAAGGGCTACCGGAATACCGTTTAGTTGACCTGTACCTGTTTGAACAGCGTCAGTCAATCCTGTAGTTTTTTGAGCAGAGTCAATACGGTTTTTATAAGGTTCCTCCTTCGAATGAAATTTAATGGGATCCGCAGAGACCATGTCTTCATCCATAGGATTCCAAGTACCCGGATCAATCGAAAGCTCGATTCTCTCTGAACTACTCATTTTCAAATAATGTCCACATTGTTCACAAACATTCATTTTGACTTTCTTATACATTAATCCATAACAATTGTCGCATTGAATCCACAATTGATTGTAGTTTTGAGTTATATCAAAATCCTTAGAACTTATTAAATTACTACGATTCCTATTAGTTCTTATCTTGTAATTTTTGCTTTCACGAATCTTTCCACTTTCACTACAAATGAAATTATAAATGTAACTTTCATTGGAATTATTACTATCGCTTAAAAAGTTACTATCAATACAGATGTAAGAACGAAAATAAGAATCAATGCAACTATTAATGTGATTAGTACAATTATATTTAGTATCCTTAATGTAAGGATCATAGTGCAGATCGTTGTCACCTTTAGATCTATTATTCAGATAACTAGAACTACAATAACTATAAAAAAAAATTTCTAGGTCACTAAAATCATTGTCAATCTCAAAAAATTTTTTTTTTTTATCAAAATATATAGAATAACTATTATTATTACTATCCCTAACAAAAAAGGTATCATCCGATATGAAATTGCGAATGTCCTTGGAGCTAACTAAAAGATCAACATTATTGGAATAACTAGAACGCTCACCCCAACCATAAAAGTTTTTATCCATATCATATATAAAATGGTCTTGACTTATAGTAGTCTTTTCACCAGGAGCAAAACTATCCATTGCTTTACTTAGCTCGCCTCTGTATTCCAATTCTCCCTTAGAAAACATAAAATTGAACCACGATTTTTCCATAGAGCTTCTGGCCTCTATTTAAATGAAAATACAATAACAATAGATGAATAGTCATTCAATGAAAAAATTGAAAAATGCAAAATTTTTTTGAATAGTTCATTTTCTATTCAGAGTAAGCAAAACATATCGATGCAATTGCTAAGATTATTAAGTAAAAGTAAAGTAATTGAAATTAATAAATTTCAATTCTAAAAGAAAATAAGGATTTTCTTATATTGTGTAAAATTCTCATAAAAAAAAAAAAGAAATATTTGTTCTTCGCTTATGAATATAAGGATATGAAGAACTTTTTTAGTAAAATCTCGTATACTAATATAAAATATAAAATAAAAAAACTTTTTTTATTCCAATACGGAATGAAAAGAAAAGGACAACATGCAGGATGGGGTAGAAGAAGCGGGGATACTTGGTTCAAGCCCTGACACGAAAGACTATAACACTCCTAAGAATCCATGTTTCGTATAGGATTTCTTGTGAACACTACAATAACAAAATTGTAGTTGTGTTTAATCTTCTTTTTTTTATTGAAGAGTTTTTTTATATCTAGATTTAAGTATGTATCTATAAAAAAAAATAGTATATACAACAGATAAACTCGGCTCAATCTTTTTAGTAAAAAAAAAGATTGAGCCGAGTGCAATTAAACTAATAAAACAAACGTGAATTACTAATCTAATTTATCTACTCTTGGCCATCTAATTTATCGACGGTTGGGAAGTTAAATCTGATCTCTTTCCATACTTCACAAGCAGCAGCTAGTTCAGGACTCCACTTGCAAGCTTCACGGATAATTTCATTACCCTCGACTGCAAGATCACGTCCCTCATTACGAGCTTGTACACATGCTTCCAGAGCTACTCGGTTAGCTACGGCACCCGGTGCATTTCCCCAAGGGTGGCCTAAAGTTCCTCCACCGAATTGTAGTACAGAATCATCTCCAAAGATCTCGGTCAAAGCAGGCATATGCCAAACGTGAATACCCCCTGAAGCCACAGGCAGAACACCTGGTAGTGAGACCCAATCTTGAGTGAAAAAGATACCGCGGCTTCGATCTTTTTCAACATAATCATCGCGCAGTAAATCAACAAAGCCCAAAGTTGACTCCCTGTCTCCTTCAAGTTTACCTACTACTGTACCCGCGTGAACATGATCTCCACCAGATAGACGTAAAGCTTTAGCTAGTACACGGAAGTGCATACCATGATTCTTCTGTCTATCAATAACAGCGTGCATTGCACGGTGGATGTGAAGAAGTAGGCCATTATCTCGGCAATAATGAGCCAAACTAGTATTTGCGGTGAATCCCCCTGTTAAGTAGTCATGCATTACGATAGGAACTCCCAATTCTCTGGCAAATACAGCTCTTTTGATCATTTCTTCGCATGTACCCGCAGTAGCATTCAAATAATGCCCTTTGATTTCACCTGTTTCAGCCTGTGATTTATAAATAGCTTCGGCACAAAATAAGAAACGGTCTCTCCAACGCATAAATGGTTGGGAGTTCACATTCTCATCATCTTTGGTAAAATCAAGTCCACCACGTAGACATTCATAAACTGCTCTACCATAGTTCTTCGCGGATAACCCCAATTTTGGTTTAATAGTACATCCTAATAGGGGACGTCCATACTTGTTCAATTTATCTCTTTCAACTTGGATACCATGAGGTGGTCCTTGGAAAGTTTTAGTATAAGCAGGAGGGATTCGCAGATCCTCTAGACGTAGAGCAGCCAGGGCTTTGAACCCAAATACATTACCCACAATCGAGGTAAACATGTTAGTAACCGAACCTTCTTCAAAAAGGTCTAAGGGGTAAGCTACATACGCAATAAATTGAGTTTCTTCTCCTGGAACGGGCTCGATGTGGTAGCATCGTCCTTTGTAACGATCAAGGCTGGTAAGCCCATCGGTCCACACAGTTGTCCATGTACCAGTAGAAGATTCAGCAGCTACCGCAGCCCCTGCTTCTTCAGGTGGAACTCCAGGTTGAGGAGTTACTCGGAATGCTGCCAAGATATCAGTATCCTTGGTTTCATATTCAGGAGTATAATAAGTCAATTTATACTCTTTAACACCAGCTTTGAATCCAACACTTGCTTTAGTCTCTGTTTGTGGTGACATAAGTCCCTCCCTACAAGTCATGAATTTAGAATTCTTGCAATAAAACAAAACAACAAGGTCTACTCGACATAAATTAGGAATAGATTTAATTAACCTTTTTCACAGGAATCTTTCACAAAATTATCAACTAATCAGAATGATTCTTTATTAGACCATGATATTTGATTCGCCAAATACATCATTATTGTATATTCTTTCATATGTATAGCGCAACCTAATACTTCTTTTTCAAGTTTTGAATCTTTGACTTTTTATAAATCCAAATATTTAATATTAAAATATTAATAAAATCACTCTTGACAGTAATATATGTTGTATATGTAAATCCTAGATATGACAATATGCGGAATTCATCCATGAAAATGAAAAACAAGAGGGTGGGGGGGGGGTTGCTAAAGGGATGAATAAATGGGACGCATAACCGGATATGCTAAAATGAAAATATGAAAAAAAAAGGCTAATGAGATCGAAATAATGAATCATAACTAAAGTTCCGTTTAGAATTCGCTAGATAAAAGATAAAACAAAGGCTTGCCTATTCTATTATGATAAATAAATCAAAGACTTTCCGCAAAAAAATTTTTTATTCATATATTTTTTATTTTAAAACTAGGTTTCAGTTAGTTGAGCTTGAAAATGACTATTCCTTCATTGAATAAGTAAAAAATTGAATTCCACATCCGCTTGGGTGGTACCAACGAAATCGAGCGCTTACTCCCATTTTTTATTGAATTAACCGATGAATTTGCTATCGAAGATTTTTTCTTTATTCGAAAAATTTCGCAACAAAATTTAACATATTTTTTTATTATGAGAACAAATCCTACTACTTCGGATCCAGAGGTTTCGATACGTGAAAAAAAAAACCTGGGACGTATCGCTCAAATCATTGGTCCGGTACTGGATGTAGCCTTTCCCCCGGGCAAAATGCCTAATATTTACAATGCTCTGGTGGTTAAGGGTCGAGATACTCTTGGTCAAGAAATTAATGTGACTTGTGAAGTACAGCAATTATTAGGAAATAATCGAGTTAGAGCTGTAGCTATGAGTGCGACAGAGGGTTTAAAGAGAGGAATGGACGTGGTTGATATGGGAAATCCTCTAAGTGTTCCAGTCGGCGGAGCGACTCTAGGACGAATTTTCAACGTGCTTGGGGAACCCGTTGATAATTTAGGTCCTGTCGATACTCGCACAACATCTCCTATCCATAAATCCGCGCCTGCTTTTATACAATTAGATACAAAATTATCAATTTTTGAAACAGGAATTAAAGTAGTAGATCTTTTGGCCCCTTATCGTCGTGGGGGAAAAATTGGACTATTCGGTGGGGCTGGCGTGGGTAAAACAGTACTAATTATGGAATTGATCAACAACATTGCTAAAGCTCATGGTGGTGTATCCGTATTTGGTGGAGTAGGCGAACGGACTCGTGAAGGAAATGATCTTTACATGGAAATGAAAGAATCTGGAGTCATTAATGAACAAAATCTTGCGGAATCCAAAGTGGCCCTAGTCTATGGTCAGATGAATGAACCACCAGGAGCTCGTATGAGAGTTGGTCTGACTGCCTTAACTATGGCAGAATATTTCCGAGATGTTAATGAGCAAGACGTACTTCTATTTATCGACAATATCTTCCGTTTCGTACAAGCAGGATCCGAGGTATCCGCCTTATTGGGTAGAATGCCTTCTGCTGTGGGTTATCAACCCACCCTTAGTACCGAAATGGGTACTTTACAAGAAAGAATTACTTCTACAAAAAAGGGGTCCATAACCTCTATTCAAGCAGTTTATGTACCTGCAGATGATTTGACTGACCCCGCTCCTGCCACCACATTTGCACATTTAGATGCGACTACCGTACTATCAAGAGGATTAGCTGCCAAAGGTATCTATCCAGCGGTAGATCCTTTAGATTCAACGTCAACTATGCTACAACCTCGAATCGTTGGCGAGGAACATTATGAAACTGCGCAACAAGTAAAGCAAACTTTACAACGTTACAAGGAGCTTCAGGACATTATAGCTATCCTGGGGTTGGACGAATTATCCGAAGAGGATCGCTTAACCGTAGCAAGAGCACGAAAAATTGAGCGTTTCTTATCACAACCCTTTTTCGTAGCAGAAGTATTTACAGGTTCTCCGGGAAAATATGTTGGTCTAGCGGAAACAATTAGAGGGTTTAAATTGATCCTTTCCGGAGAATTTGATTCTCTTCCTGAACAGGCCTTTTACTTAGTGGGTAACATCGATGAAGCTACTGCGAAGGCTACAAACTTAGAAATGGAGAGTAAATTGAAGAAATGACCTTAAATCTTTGTGTACTGACTCCGAATCGAATTGTTTGGGATTCAGAAGTAAAAGAAATCATTTTATCTACTAATAGTGGACAAATTGGTGTATTACCGAACCACGCGCCGATTGCCACAGCTGTTGATATAGGTATTTTGAAAATACGCCTTACTAACCAATGGTTAACGATGGCTCTGATGGGCGGTTTTGCTAGAATAGGCAATAATGAAATCACTATTTTAGTAAATGATGCAGAGAAGAATAGTGACATTGATCCACAAGAAGCTCAGCAAACTCTTGAAATAGCAGAAGCTAACTTGAGAAAAGCTGAAGGTAAGAGACAGACAATTGAGGCTAATCTAGCTCTCAGACGAGCTCGGACACGAGTCGAGGCTCTCAATACGATTTGATTTTGTAACTAGCTGACGTGTAAAAAAAAAAAAAGAATGTATAAAAAAAATAGGATCGAAAAGCGAGAAAAACAATAAAATAAAAAAAGCTGGTTACAAAAACTTATTAGACACCATTGATCATGGTGTCTAATAAGTTATACCTACTATTGGATTTGAACCAATGACTCCTGCCGTATGAAAGCAATACTCTAACCACTGAGTTAAGTAGGTTATTTATCATCGTAAAGAGAAGGAAAGGGGATACCTATCACATCGATAGGATTATAAATCCAATATTATTTCTAAGCAATACCAATAAACAACGAGATCAAAGAGATATAATGTTCAATCATGTAATATTAATCTTGACAAGAAATTATCTACATGATAAGATAAAATGTGTATCACAAACACAAGGGCTATAGCTCAGTTAGGTAGAGCACCTCGTTTACACGTGCGCCAAAGTTTTTCAGAGGAGTCCATCACGCAATCAAACTAATTGATTGATCTTATTAAGAAATCGATGTCTTACTCCATGACTTTTTTTTAGGAAAAAAGAGGAGAACAACAGCCTGACATTAGGTCCTATTAAAGTACCCCGTTAGGTAGGGAATGAATAGAACCCATCATTGATTTGAGATATTGATAGGGTGAATACCCAGTCTACTCAATGCTAGGTAGAATGAGTATAAGGAACTCAAAAATAATCTTTTCGTCCTATGAACCTTAAGGTGTATCAAGTTTCATGTTTGATTTTTTAATCAGGATGTTAGAGACTATATTTAACTTAAGTTGATCTAGACCAAAAGCAAACCTACGTCAAGAGAACCCTTTTTTGAAACACTTTGGTAGTTCTTCTGTATTGTATTAGAATTTAAAAATAATCAATCAGAGTACTTGGAACCATTTCTTATCTTTTTTTTAAGAAAAAATATGGTAGACTAACTGATCCAAAGATCAGTTAATGAAAGAGCCCAATGCAAAAAAAAATGCATGTTGGGTCTTTGAAAGAGTTCGAATCATTTTGATAATAATAAGTTCGAACTCTTTTACCGAGCAGGTCTACGGTTCGAGTCCGTATAGCCCTAACTAAGAAATTCATTCTAATAAATCACATTAAAATCCAAATAATTGGATAATTTTTTTTACTTTTTATTGTATTCTTTATTTATAACAGGTTACTTTTAATTGCTCGGTTCATAAAAAAAATTTTCATACCAAAAACCATAAGTCCTGGGGATCGTTCAGAATAAAACGGAAAATTAAATTTTATTTCAATGGAGCCAACCACTATCTATCGATATATCTAGATAGATACTTTTTTCTAATTTTTTTAATTTAGAATCAACTTTTTTCTTCATTAATTTTCATAGTTGTAATTTTTTTATATGAATTTTCCTCGTTCACTAGCTACAATCAAAAAGTTCCTAAGACTTTCTTTTTTTGTATCCCCACCCAATCTTGGTTACTTTTTTTATGACACGGCCTTGTTTAAAAATAAAAACAGAAATCTAATTAAATTCAACCAAAATTAAATCTATCTAATACTAAGTAAGATGAGTATGGTAAAGTCTTACTGGATTTTTTGATACGTCATCATTTTAAAAACGAAGAGATTTTTCGAAAATGTTTTTTTAAACATAAACAGAAATAAAAAAAAATTACTAGTTATTAATCAGATTAATATTATATTATTAATATTAGAAACTATTAGTAATAGAAACATGGAACTATTAAGTAATAAGTGTACTGAAAATACGAAATTAATAAATCTTAAAATGAGACGTCTACCACAGCAACCAAACGAAAATAAATGATTCGATTAACCTGAATTTTTTTTTGACTCAAGAGTTCTATATCCCTTGCCCAATCCACTCCGATTGGAATTGACTAAGCGGGTATTTTTTCCACATTCATAGGAGTTCGTCTATGTTTCTGCTTTACGAATATGATATTTTCTGGGCATTTTTACTAATATCAAGTGCTATTCCTGTTTTGGCATTTCTAATTTCCGGAGTTTTATCTCCAATTAGGAAGGGGCCGGAGAAACTTTCTAGTTATGAATCAGGTATAGAACCGATCGGGGATGCTTGGTTACAATTTAGAATCCGTTATTATATGTTTGCTCTAGTTTTTGTTGTTTTTGATGTTGAAACTGTTTTTCTGTATCCGTGGGCAATGAGTTTCGATGTACTGGGGGCATCTGCTTTTATAGAAGCTTTCATTTTCGTGCTTATCCTAATTCTTGGTTTAGTTTATGCATGGCGAAAAGGAGCATTGGAGTGGTCTTAGTTCGTTTCCCGAATACTTGTACAATAAAAAAAAAAAAAAAAAAGTAAAAAAAACCATTGAAACAATTATGAATTCCATTAAGTTTCCCGTACTTGATCGAACAACAAAAAATTCCGTTATTTCAACTACGTTAAATGATCTTTCAAATTGGTCAAGACTTTCCAGCCTATGGCCGCTTCTTTATGGTACCAGTTGTTGTTTCATTGAATTTGCCTCATTAATAGGCTCCCGATTTGACTTTGATCGTTATGGGTTAGTACCAAGATCGAGTCCTAGACAGGCGGACCTTATTTTAACAGCAGGTACAGTAACAATGAAAATGGCTCCTTCTTTAGTGCGATTATATGAACAAATGCCTGAACCAAAGTATGTTATTGCTATGGGAGCGTGTACAATTACGGGGGGGATGTTCAGTACCGATTCTTATAGTACTGTTCGAGGAGTTGATAAGCTAATTCCTGTAGATGTCTATTTGCCGGGTTGTCCACCTAAACCAGAGGCTGTTATAGACGCTATAACAAAGCTTCGTAAGAAAATAGCTAGAGAAATCTATAAGGATCGAATTAGACCTCAACAGGGTAATCGGTGTTTTACTACCAATCACAAGTTTTTTGTTGTACGCAGTCCGCATATTGGAAATTATGATCAAGAATTACTCTATCCACCATCATCTACTTCAGAGATCTCTACTGAAAAATTTTTTAAATACAAAAGTCCAGTATCGTCCCACGAATTAGTGAATTAGGGAGGCTTTTAGAGAATAAGAAAAAAATCTTCATAAATTAGAACTCATGGTAAATGTGAAAAACTTAATTTTATATAAAAAAGGTGTGGGGGAAATAAAAAAGATGCAGGGCACTTTGTCCGTTTGGCTAGCCAAACGCGGGCTGGTTCATAGATCGTTGGGCTTCGATTATCAAGGAATAGAGACTTTACAAATAAAGCCCGAAGATTGGCATTCTATTGCTGTAATTTTATATGTATATGGTTACAATTATTTACGTTCGCAATGTGCCTATGATGTGGCACCAGGTGGCCTCTTAGCCAGCGTGTATCATCTTACGAGAATAGAATATGGTGTTAATCAAGCGGAAGAAGTCTGCATAAAAGTATTTACTCACAGGAGTAATCCTAGAATTCCATCCGTTTTCTGGGTTTGGAAAAGTACGGATTTTCAAGAACGGGAATCTTATGATATGTTAGGAATCACTTATGATAGCCATCCACGACTGAAACGGATCCTAATGCCCGAAAGTTGGATAGGGTGGCCTTTACGTAAGGATTATATTGCCCCCAATTTTTATGAAATACAAGATGCTTATTGAATGATAAAAAATGAGCCTTAGCTTCTAGAACTCCAGACCTTCACGGAATATTTGGAATTCGATTCTTTTTTAGATCAAACAAACAGAACAGTTGAGGTCTCGTTGATATTATTAGAGATAGCTTGATTGAAAGATACTTTTTTTATTTCGTAAAAGCCGAGCCAATAGGATGAACTAAACAAAAGAGTTCTGCATTATGAACTTTGTATCGCGCACATAACTTAGTCAACTTTAGTCACATAACTGGGAATGAATAAATAAGATCGGAAAGCAATAAATGAAGGGGGGGGGATACAATTCTATTTCTATTGTATCTAATGAATCTTGGGGTATTTTTGCCCTTCAACTATAGATACTATAGTATACTATACATATAGACCTTTTTTTACTTGTTTGATTCAACGGAACTCATTTAACCTTTCCTTTCGGATATGTATTATGTATCAAGTATTATACATTCTTTTTGAACGGCTGGATCCACAACATGAACAAAAAAAGAGAGGGGATAAGGGATAATTGCACTTTTTTTACTAAAGATACGTTTAATTTGAAGAATAGAAACTTATCAAAATTAATAAATCCTATGCCAAGAACCAGATTTGAACTGGTGACACGAGGATTTTCAGTCCTCTGCTCTACCAACTGAGCTATCCCGGCGAAGGATCATCCTCGTTTTACGAATGGTGGCACAAGGATTTTCAGTCCCCCGCAAAAAAGCTATGGCCACCATTACTGAGGTATCATCTACTGAAGTATCATCCTCGTTTTCCTAATGGTGAAACGAGGATTTCGAGTCCTATGCAACTAAGCTATGTCTACCTTTACTGAAGGATCATTATCATATGACACAGGGATTTTCAGTCCCCCGCAATTAAGCTATGTCTACCATTACTGAAGGATCGTTATGATGTGACACAGGGATTTTCAGTCCCCCGCAAAAAAGCTATGTCCACCATTACTGAGGTATCATCTACTGAAGTATCATCTTGCTTTTCCTATTTCCTAATGGTGACACAAGGATTTTCAGTCCCCCGCAAAAAAGCTATGCCGACCATTACCGAAGTATCATCTTGCTTTTCCGAATGGTGACACAAGGATTTTAAGTCCCCCGCAATTAAGCTATGTCTACCATTACCGAAGTATCATCTACTGAAGTATCAGTATCATTTTAATATATGACTTAGGTCTATGTCAATGAAAAGAAACTCAAAAGTAGTAAATTCAAAAAGTTGTGGACCGGGAATTTCTTGGATTTTATAAATAAAAGAAGACTTTCTAAGTTTGAAAATGAAAAATGATATAGATTCTAAATAATTCAAATAAATAATAACGAAAAAAAGGTAAGGTGTCAACCTTTTCGGGGAGTAGAGCTGGGGATAGAGGGACTTGAACCCTCACGAT